CCCCCACCAAATAGATTTTTATTGATATTATAAAATATTTTTCTCTTTTTTATATTTTCGTGAGTTATAAAAAAAAATCGGAGAAGAAAAAACTATTTTTTTTCTTAAAAACCATGAGAAACTTAATATTCTAATTGAACAAAAATGGCGAAACATTCCAAAAATGTTTAAAGTTTAGAAGTTACTTTTAAGTAACTTTCTTTTGTAGACATGTTTGGCTTCATTGCAAGTTTGCAATTTTTAAATTCTTTATTTAAAAACTTAAGTATTTATTTACATTTTCGAAAGTGTCTTTCTTTTAAGATTTAGCTAAACCCTAATTTTCTCTCCCGTAAATTGTGAATTTATGATGTATTATTTTCTAAAAAATATTTAAGGCCAAATTTCGCACAAATATTACCGTTTAAATAAGTTTTTGAAATTGACTACTTATAAAATTTATCACAACAAAATATGAAAAATACTGATATACCTCTACAAATAGTTATAATTAGTTTAACCAAAATAACTAAGTGAAACAAGATGCTACACTATTCATTATGAATCCAATGAACCACCATAGTATAAAAATTTGAGTTATTAAATAGATGGTTCAACATGGCATGGCATGAAGGCACACACAAATATCAACCCCAGTTTGACAATCATTATTTCAAAACTCTTTAATTTTCATACTCATTTTCAACTACAATAAAATATTTTGCACATAAAATCAGAACCTTTTAATCACACATTCTCTAGAAAATCATTATTCGAAACTCAATTTTCTCAAAATAATGGCTATCAAACAAGAATCTTGGGATTTATTAAAATTGTATACGTATAAATTGATATACACGTGAGGGGCACATTTAAAATTAAATTTAATTATATAAATGTCGCACGTCTCGAATAGTTTAGACGGTTAGATTAAGTGGTTCAAAATCCAAAACATGCATAAATAATAAGTCTTACCATATTTTCTAACAAAATGAAACAGTTTCCACACCTATAAGAAATTTGTGAAGCAAGCCAATGACATAATATATATCACCCCTTGAAATAACATTGTTCTAATTAATTAAGAAACAAAAAACAATCCAAAAACTAGCTACCAGCCATTAAAGCAAATTACTTTGATTGTATATATCTAATCCAAGTTGTGGATAAATTACCCTAATCCAGTATTTTACGAATACCCCACATAAATCTTCTTGTTTGGATCCAGCCAAATCATAGAGTAGTTTCAGTAGTCTTTTGATTCTAGTAGAATTAGATAGATATCTCTTCAACACAGCACAACATAGGTCGTCAGAATCGGGGACTATCCAGCCAAATCATGCAGCAGTTGTGCATCCATCAAATTTCTGTATGGCAGATTCTGGCTTTCATTATCCAAGAGTGAGTATTGTACTGTTTGACATTCTTCAATGTGATCTCTAGGGTAGAAAAGTGAGTTTTGGGAGGCTGGAGAAAATGCTAAGCTCACCCCAACACCACTTGCATGGTGTAATCCCAATGTCAATGACACACCACCGCCACGGCCACTGCCGCTACTGCTGCCAACGTAATTGTGTGCCGCGCTGGCCCCACCTGCTGAGTGATGATTGTTAGAGAAATCCAATTTCATAGCACCAAATGATGAGTCCACCACCCTACCAAAACTATGGTGCTGGTGCTGATCATTTTGACTCTTTTTGCCATCATTTTTCTCTGGATTGTTGACAACTGAAGAGAGATATTCGGAATCGATTCTCACAAGTTGATCGTGGTTCGGCTTTTCGTCTACGTTTCGCAAAATATTCAGTTGATCACCGTTATCATCAAGATTGGTTATAGAATCATCATTCAAGCCCTCCTTTTCTTTTAGTTCTTCTATATACATTTCTTCCACCATTGGTTTCCATAGCCTCACCCTAGCATTGATGAACCAATTTGACACCTGCACAACAAATAATAAAAGTCATTTATCTTACTCGACAAGAAAACAATACCATGATTAAAATATCCTCAATATTTTAATACCATAAATGTTTTTTAAGAAGATATGTTCTTGATCACATAAATTAATTCATGGGTTTTGATTTAAATAATGTTTGGAAGATAGGGACTTGCCTGGCTTCTTGAGAGACCTGTTTGGCGGGCCAAAATGTGTTTATCTACGACACTTGGATACCTGCAGGTTGCATTAAAATTCATACGTACTTTTTACTTCTTGTGATCATAATGAGAAAAAAAAATTAAATTTAAATGGATGACAGAGAGTAGAGGGAATGAGATGGGACCTATGGAAGTTGTAGCAGAATCAAATCCACACAAATATAACAAAACGTGCCAAGAAAATATCCCAGAAAAAAATGAAAAATATACTGTAGTAGGCATTGAACATTGGAATCTTAATAGTGGTGGGGAGAAACTAACAAACATTGGCTTGTTCCACATACTAGATATTGACACAAACATGCACAAACCTTAGTACACAGAACAGAAAGTGGGAAGTTTCTTTTTTGTTTGGAGAATACATTGGTTCTTTCAAGAAATCTAGTTCGTACGAAACCCAAATATGTTCAATGTTAAGACTTCGTGCTTGTTTGGCCTATTAGATAGGAAATACCCAAGAATTGAAGGTAGAGGTAAGGAATTTACGGGTGGAGGAAGTGCTCGAAAAGCCAAGCACGAAGAACAGAAACCGATCTTTCGGGCAATCCTCGTTGAGGTCTCCATGGATGGCTCTCCATCATGTTCATTTGCTGGAATGCCCTTTGTTGCCTTAAAGTTTGATCAAGAAGTCTAAGTCTTGGTGTCTCCCCTCTCGTTGTGCCCGGCGCAGCAGTGTCCTTTTCACCCATTGCTTTCATGGTGGCCTTAATCTGCCCAAAAATCCCATCTCTTAGACACCTAAAATGCCTTGACATGGCCTTTGAAGCTAGGGAAGAATACACTGTTGCAGCCCCATTTCCAGCAACTGCTTCAAATGATGATACCACAGCCTTCATCTGGTCACAGTAGTGCCCGTACCTTCTATCCACCTACAGATACCAATGAATAAAACAGTGAAAAAAAAGAAAGTGATACAAGATTGTAAATTATAGCATAAAATATGTATAAAATCAAGTAGTAATTATATATTGTTTTTTAAGAAAAGAGGGTTTCAAATTAAATGGAACTGCTGGATTGTCGCCATGTGAGCATTAATGGATGAGCATGAGAAACTAGGTGAATCAACAACCCTTAACAGTTAGAATTGTAAAATAAAGCTTACTTTTACCTTTATATTTCATATTTGGTACTGTGTCTCTATTATTTTCCGTTCATATAGTTTTTAACTGAAGAAGATAATATGGATTAAGCAAAGAAATTTACCTCTTCTAGGAGTTGAAGCAACTTGGTTTTTCTTTTCTGCAACTCGAGGAGATCAAGGGAATACAAAGATTGCTTTTTTATGATATTCTCATCATCCAATACATTATTCTTCTGAATCTTTTGCTTTGATGTATTCACAGAGTGTTTTGTACCAAGATTACAGAACTCATTAAGAAGATCTTGAGCAGGAGCCAAGTAATTTGAGTTCCTTATATGAAAGTGTTGTTGAATATTCACAGACCTAGAACTTGATGGACCAAACCTTAAATCATCTTGATGTCCAACACCAAAAGACTGATGAATCCCAGTACTCCCAGGATTTGATGAACTCAAAGAGAGTGAAAGGCGCCTTTCATTTCCTTCACCAGGAAAAATACACCTCGAAGATGGATCATCCACCATCAATCTGTTCTGATTATTCCAAGCTGATGAAGAATCCAACAAGTTCTCATTTGTCGTATCAGATATACCTGTTAAATCATGGCTATAGAATTCACTTGTTGATGTGGGTTTGGATGATGCCACACAACCGACCCCGGGCTTGTTGAAGAACTCCTTCCACAAAACTGAGGTATTCTCATTTTGTTGATGCAGATTCTTTGATGGAAACCCTATCATTTCCATGCCAGCAGTAAAGTTGTAGATCTCAGAATTATGCTCAAATTGTTGCAACTGGCTAACCAGATGAGTCTGAGTATTTGAATTTCCAGTTGAATAATCATGATTAGAATAACAGTATCCAGTAGATGTAACCATTTCCCTTGTTTTCTCTTCACCACTTCGATCCGCCATATTTATAGACCTTAAATCTCCTGGTTTTTGTTCCTTCTTCCTTATCTGGATTTTCTTGATTCTGTTACTGAAAATCAAGAAAGACTCACCCCATAAATCAGAAAAAATGAAAAAAGTGTCCGTATGTGTGTTCTATGAGAGAGAGAGAGATTAATGTGAAAGAGTGGACTAAGTTGAGATGTTTATGTTAACCATTTGTGGAGGTTGAGGTGGGGTTTGGGAGGAAGGGTGGGTGGATGGATGGTTGGGTGGGTGGGTGGGGGGGTTAATTAACTTAAATTTAAAGTATTTTTTTAGTAACAAGTTCTTAGTATGACCTCTCCTACTCGATGGTGGGTAGCTCCAAATCTTTTTTTCACTTTTACTTTTTTGATATGTATAGCAGACCTAAGGTTTTATTATTTCTTTTCAATATTACTAACAAAATGTTGAATGGGTAGACTATGAAGATGTTGTAACGATGTCGATCTAATTGAGACATTTAGGTCCCACTTCCAACTGAACCTTCTTACTTAAAAGACCTGATTTCGTTGCTCAAGTTTGATCTACTAAAAAAAAAATATTTTCAAATTTACTTATAAGTAAACTTTATAAGGTTAGAAAAACATGCTTTCTTTCTTTCTTTTGTAGGGTTGACGATGACCATAATGTGATCATTTGATTTGATCTTTGGCTCTTTCTCTCTCTCTTGTTCATATGAGTCAATGTAAATACATAAAAAATAAACTTCGTACAAAATCTGCTCAATAATTACGTGCTCCCACCAATCAAAAAATAATTTTAATAATACTTAGGACCCTCCAAGAATTTTAAACCTTAAAATATGGGTTGGTTTTAAATCATTGAAGGAACAAACATATACTTATAGATAGATACAAAATATATGTACGTACTGATAGGTTGAGAATCCCTAGAACTGGAGTTAAAACTCTAGTTTTGCAGGCTTTTTCAGATGGCCTTTAGCTGTGTAAAACTAGTGTGGGGCTGATATTCTGATCAAATTTGCTTTCAACACAGAGCTTTGGGTAGAAGAGAATGTGTGTCAAACAGAGATTGGAATTAGATGCAAAATTTTGTGTAGGGTTGAGATGAGGTGGTCCAATATTTCTATCTAATTTTAATTAAATCTACCCCTTATTAAAGCCCTCCACCAATCTCTCCCTCCAAAAATGGGACCAGCATCTTCTTTTTCCAATTTTCTCCATACACTGCCAACAACCAAACACAACATTGAGAAAATATTCGAAATGGAATTTATACCACCTGCAAAGTGAAATAACTTTTGGTTTTAGAAATTTACATTTAAAATATCTTAATTTTCTTATTATTATTATGTTTGATCTTGTTTAAAAGTATGTTTTTTCGAATTTCTAGATAACATGTGTCTGCACAAGGAGTCATATACCTAGAAACTCTCTCACTCATGTGGACCGACAAGACTATACTATTAAATGTCGACTAATGATATCATTATATGTAGGTATTGTTGTTGGGTCCTACTTAAAAGTATTGTGTGTTCATCTACGTTGAGCTTGTTGGTATTGCGGGTGGAAGGCTGACTAAAGGATGATTGCAACATGTCGTGGGAACTTCGGTTCATGAACACTTTGTGTCAAATGGTATCAAGCCTAAAAGATGCACTAGGAAGGTAGTCTTCTTGTTCCCAAACTAGTCTAAATCAATAATAACTCAGTCATGACTCATATCAACTTTAATCCAATCAAAATTTACAATATTCTATCAAAATCGACCCCAATTTTTATGCCAAATCAATAGCAAACACACGAAGAGGAGGGCTACAACAAGGTCACTCACTAGGACATTTAGGTATGGTCAGGGAGATCACTTACACTTATCTCAATAATCATCCATTATATGGTCTACCAAGATACAGAGACGTGCTTATTGTTGATACACTAACAATATAATTGTCAAGTTTAAAGGTCACTCGTAAGTCTACAATTAAACTGAAAGTGTGTCCCAGTGTGAATCATCTAACATTCAAAGCAAGTCATGCTTCGATTGATCAATCTTCGATTCTAGAGCAATAGCATGTGTTAAATTAGGCCACTTAGGCACTAGGACTAGGTGGTGATGTAGTCACGCACAAATCACGTGTGTGGACCTTTGAATGGATACAGCTTTATTTTTTTGTCTCTTGAAAGGAATGTGGTCCATCCTCCATTATATAATATATAAACACTTTTATATAGACTAAAAGACATCAGCCCAAAATATATATGGAATTTTCTTGCTTGGAATTCTTTGCGAACGCAAAGGAAATTTTTATAAAGGCCTGTTTGATTGTGAATGTGGAATTTGGGTGGAAAAAAATGAATTACGAGGAATTGAATTATCTAAAATTTATTTTATTGGAAATTGTAATTAATTGTGTTTGATTGGTATAATTTGTCACATGAAAAATATTGAAAGTTTGATATCCGTTTGACTTTATTTTGCATGAAAATTATCAATAAAACCAACCTAACTTATTTTTTTCTCTCTTTCATTTACGGAGAATGAACACACACATACACACAAAGAAAGGTGTGATTTTTGATCGTTTATATTCTATTTTTGAAAATGAGACCTTACCTACCTCTAGTCCATGTATATATCTCACCTATATGCATATATCTTGTACATTCGTTTATATATACGTATATTATACAAACTCAGAAAGATATATACAATTATAGTAAAAGAGAAATGGTAGGATTTCATAGAGGTGCAGATATTTCAGGTTCAAAAAAGAGTGTTGTGTCAATTTACAAGTTCATTGAAACTTGTAGATAGCAGTTGGTTAAGCAGTCTCTGAGTCCTATAAAGATAACAGGCGTAGGCGTAGGCGTAGGGGTAGGGTAGGTGATCTTTTTCTCTTGTGGGCCATTCTACAATCTCAAATTTTTCATCAACGCTACGAACTTGTGACTGACTTCCAGGAACTCAGCTTTTTCTTATTGTAATTATTAATGGGCTTGCATGCATCTCTGGAATTAAATCAATTCCAATGATTTTTCAGTTTTACTAATTAAATTAGGGTTCAACTGACGCCTGGGATATGATGTTTTGGGATGTGCTTATGGATGGAGCAATGTCTCGACGATTATATCTTAAGATGTTGTCGGTTCTTTTAGGGTTGGTTGAATTTTTATAATATCATAAAACGAAAGAATTGTTCTTTGAACCACCCTTATAATCAAGAGTGATATTCTGAATAAGCGTTTAAGATTGACATCTGTTCTTACACCTCTATCGACGACATCAACATCTTAGTTTGTTGGTATAATTTATAAACGAACTTTCATATTCCCTAAATATGTTTACAAGTAACAAAGAAAGCTATGCAACTCTATTTTGGTCCTTGAATGGACTGTCAAGATTCCATTGATGCTTATATACTCAAACTAATTATGGAATAGAATGAAAGGGTCTTCATCAAATTGTGCTATATTTATATGCTTACAAGACTTTTAAGAAGTAAAGTGAAGTTTATGCCCTTGTTAGAAAAGTATTAGTGACGATTTAATAATTAGTTTGGAAAAAGAAAAAATTTCATTTCAATATAGATAATCAATTAAATCGAACCAAATACACATATCTTAATATCAATAAGTTAGACGGAATATAATTGAAGGAAAAAAAACCTCTTTGAACTAAATCATATAATTTCTTTATATTTAATTTATATGATTGTGTGTTCAATATTATTCTAATAGCTACTAATAAACACAAATCATTGCCAAATTGCATCATATTTATTTTACATAATGCAACCATTCAAATAAACTGTCTTGTATTGGGGAGTGGTAGGTAGTCTCAACAGCAAAAGTTCTTGGAAGTACCTCAATGTCTTTTGCTATATTGTTTCCCTTCTGCCTCCAAATGAAGTATTTTAAATATGATTAGCTATTTTACTCCATAATTTATAATGTGGTTTATCTACTTTTGAAAAAAAAATTCTTGATTTATACATTAATATTGGTTATACGAGGGCTACGACCATTAGAAAGCAGTGTTCTAAAAAGTTCATTAAAGCTCGAGGCTCGGAGAAAACACTCCGCCTCATGCTCCGACAGAAAAATAGACGGTCAATTCTACTTTGTTTGCCTAAGACGTGCACCTTTTTGGTTGAAGTGTTATTTTTTTATTTTTTTGAAGTCCAGTTTAAAAAAAAATGCTCAAAATCATTACTAAAAATTTAAAAAGAAATAACTCCAACAAAAAAATCATGCATAGACCAAACCCAACCTAGGAACAAAGCTTGAAATGAGATATGTCCCGCAATAAACAAAGAAATTGATTAATTTCACTAATGGTTTACCGACGGAATTTTTTCCGATTGAAGATTTATGTTGGTAAATTCGTCGGTATTAAAATATCCTTGATCGAAAAATAAGTAAAAAATTTATTATTTATTGTATGTCAATTATTTAATTATTCCGTCAATTTAGCAACGAAAATTGACAATCGGTAAATTTCTATCGCTGAAGCCGTACTTCTAGCAGTGAACATTAATACTCTTTAATTATAAACATATATTGAGTTTGAAAATGAAGATTCAAATCTCGTTGTTGAGACTTTTTTTCATCAAAAAGTAATCACTATTTCTTTTGAAAAGCATTTGTGGAACTCTTTAGCTATTATTATCAAGTGGGAGCAAGTGTTGGCATTACTGTTACATTGAAGGTCCATCATTTTCTCTTTTCCAAAATTGGCCTTCGTATATAGCCCAAAGGTTATTCTAAGATGGAGAAATAAATTTTCAAACAGAAATTGAAATATCAATAAAGGCCAGCTCTTGGGAGAATTCCTTAGAATTGACATTATGTTATCATTTAAACCTCTAATATCTCGTGACTTTGAAAATATCTTTCGGTACATCGACTGAGTCTAACTAGATATGGCTAACTTTTGAAAATTCCTTAGGAATCCATCTCGTGATTTTAGAAATTTAATTTAATATCGCTTTTCCTCATCGACCGAGTCTAACTAGATAT